ATTGTTGTTTGGTAGGCCTGGGCTGGGGATTCGAACCCACCACCTTAGGTGTATGTGGCTGGTGCCTTAGCCGCTTGAGCCACAGGCGCCGAGCCTAAATGATTTCTTAAAATTTACATACATTAAGGCTCACTCTTTGTGCTGTTAAATTCAGTGGGTTTTGGCAAATACATAGTGTCATGTGCCTTGTGTTATAGTATTATATAGAATATTTTCACTGTCCTAAACAATTTTCTGTGCTTTACCTGTTTATCTCTCCCCACCTTCTCTCCCTGCTTCCTCTTGGCAGCTACTGATCTGTTTATTAATACCATCTCTATAGTTTTGCCTTTTCCTAAATGTCACATAATTAAAATCATAATATGTTATATAGCCTTTTCAGACTGACTTCTTATACTTAGCAGTATACATTTAAGATTGATTCATGTAGGGCAGCACCTGTAGCTGAGTTGGCAGGGTGCTGGCCACATATACCAGGGCTGGCAGGTTCCAACCTGGCCCAGGCCTACTAAACAACAATGACAACTATAACAAAAAACTAGCCAGGGCTCGGCGCCTGTGGCTCAAGTGGCTAAGGCACCAGCCACATACACCTAAGGTGGTGGGTTCGAATCTAGCCTGGGCCCACCAAAACAACAACAATGACGGCTGCAACCAAAAAATAGCCAGGCGTTGTGGTGGGTGCCTGTGGTCCCAGCTACTTGGGAGGCTAAGGCAAGAGAATCGCTTAAGCCCAACAGTTTGAGGTTGCTATGATGCCGCGGCACTGTACCGAGGGTGACAGCTTGAGACTGCGTCTCAAAAAAAGAAGTTTGATTCATGTTTTTTGTGGCTTCATATCTCATTTCTTTTTATTGTTGGATAATATTCCATTATATGGATGTATCAGTTTGTTTATTCATCTATTACAGGATATCTTTAATTGCTTCCAGCTTTTGGTGATTATGAATAAAGAGCTGCTATAACATTTGTGCACAGGTTTTCGTGTGGACATAGTTTTGTATCAGTTGTATAAATGCCAAGGAGAGCAGTTGCTGGATTGGTTTGTTTCTGATTTCCTCCCACCCCTGCTAACCAATGGTAGCAACTCTTTTGAAAAAGGGCAGTTAACTTCAAAATGAGTAGCTTGTTTGACCTTTTAATTTTTTTTTTTTTTTTTTTTTTTTT